GGCCTGCTTTAATACCGTTTACTGGTTGATAATGCAGTAGAGTTGTTCCTTTTACAGCAAGGTGTAACTATTTATACATCCATGATAACTATCCTGATGAAGACATAATTATTGTCGAAATATTGAATCCCAACACGATGGCGTGCATTTCGATACTTGGAGTATGTATACTATCTCATACTATCATTTAGTCGTTAGATAAATGTTTTGTAAATATCAAAGTCCGTCGTCACTAAATACCAAGCGTCTGACAGCACCGGATGGCAGGATATTTAACTATGGACATATTAACATTCAAAAATTTGTAAGAGCACCGGTAGGTATAATTTTAAAGAAATATTTCTTTAAAATTTGAAAGCATTTTAGGTAATACTGTAAAGGAAAACAAATAGAAATGGCCCAGAAGCACCATTTCACATACTGCTTCGTCGTCGTCGCTGTCATTGTCGTCGTTGGTAGCAAATTGTTTGTTACCACGAAAACTAAATTTTGGCACGTTTGGTGTGGCGCTTATTCGAGAGCGGAGCTTATTCGAGGATTTATGGTACATTATCAGTGTTGAACAATATAAAGTAAATAACATCAGCACTTTTGAGACTAACAATATAGAATTTATTCTCTAGCTTTCGTCCACATACCGTAGTGGACTTCATTAAGAGTTCTCCTGATGAAGTCCACTGTGTGGACGAAAGCTAGAGAATAAATTCTATATTGTTAGTCTCAAAAGTGCTGATGTTACTTACTTTATATTGTTCTATACTGTATCAGACTAAAGCGGCTATATTCTTTATTATTACTTTTTTAGTTGTTAATTAAGGACACGTACATTCTTTAGACAAAATTTAATAGTTTTTAGTAATCCACTCTGTTGAGAGTTAAACATGTTATCGATCTCCTCACAGCGAGATGTTCTTGAAACCATTTTTCTGAAAGCACGGCATTAACAAACAATTGGTACAATTGGGCTCTGATAGTATTTAGGGCGGTCTATTCATGATGTTATTGCAGTGTTTACTTAATTGGATTTAATGAAAAATACATGTTGATCGTCGGTGACGACTGATAACCTGCTTATTTTTATTCGTTATCATTTTAAAATTATTATTTTTATGATCTTAAAAATATTATTTTTGGAATTGTTATCACCATTATCATAATTTTTGAACAATATTCAAACAAATTGACTGTGTTAATTTTGTTTTATAAACTTTTTATAATTTTTATATAATTATTTGTACAATGTTTATAGTGTTTATATATGGTATTTAGAGTTTTAAATACATTTATATATTTTAATAGTCATTTTATATACTTTATATAATTTTTACAAAATATGTAAATATGCGTCAGCACACGTTATACATATAATACATATCATAAACTTGAATTTTTTACGTAAGTTACAAATACAAATAGGACCGGTGGCGTAACGACGAGTCATGTGGCCCGTAAGTATTTTCGCCGCTCAAGAAGTGACCAGGGCGGGTAATCTCCCTAATTATTATGGCTGAAAATACTCTATTTAATTATCAGACAATGTAAAAAAAATATCGTGTGACTATTTAACAATATAATCATCTAATATTTTCCAAACACATTTTTAAAATGAATATTTACGTGCAATATTATTAGGTCTGTACATAAATCGAAAAATGAATCGTAAAATGAATATTTACGTGTTAGGTCTGTACATAAATCGTCGTAGAAGCGGTTGTCGCATCGGTTATGCCTTGGACTCCCAACCTTCTTGAGGTCAGCGGATTCGAAACTCTCGCTGTGTAAGTCGCTTGTGTCCTTATATCTTTATATCCTTATATAAATATAATAATATATATATATATTATATTATATATATACATATATACACATATATATACATATGTATGTATATATATATATATATATACATTCATATATATATATATTATTATTATTATTTTTTCCTGGTTTAATTTAATTAATTTGCTTATGTTAAAGATCAAGTTTAATTTTTATACTTATGTTTTAATTGTATGTACTGAGATCAGCTCAGGCTGGATGGACCACCCTCACAAAATATCTTCGAAATAAATAATTAGTGGTGGGTCTGTCTAATACTTGGGTGAGTTTAGTCCACTTCTGGGACTATCTTCTGGTATTAATATTCTTTAAATCAACAATAGATTGGGGATTTTTTTCAGAATTGTGTGTCAGTATGCGTTTTACAAGGCGAAAACACTTGCATAACTGAAATCAAGTCCAAATATACTCTTTGATATAATTGTTTTAACAAGCAATGTTTTTGTTCGCAGATTTCTGATACCTGTTCTACCATCAACATAAAGGAATGCAACAAAAGCATACATTTCAATTGCTGCTTGACAAAAAGGACTTTCTCAATTTGTTTTTTTAATCTGAAAATCGACGCAAATATATTATTATATTCCTACTATGGAGAGTGGATATGCTAGTGCCGTTCTAACGATACTAATATGCGTTGTAGCCATACTGGAAAACGCATTCGTTATCTTGACCGTGTGGGGAATTCGCAACTTAAGAAAGAAAAACTGTACGTTAATTGTTAATCTTGCAGTGGCTGACTTATTATGTGGAAGTGGCAACCTTCTTATAATCTCCATCATTGGTAACGACTTTACGGCGGACGTTCTTGATATATATGCAATGTCAGTGTTGACCATTATGATGTGGTCTTCATCTTTTACCTTCGCTGTGGGCTTTGAACGCATGTTAGCTGTGGCCACACCAATTTGGTATAACAATAATATTACTAAATGTAAAGTAGCTATTGTATGTGTAATACTGTGGACGTTACCGCCTTGTGTATTTTTTCTTACTGGGTTCCTTGATAATTGGAAGGTGTTTGCGGGGTTTTTCTTATATCTGCAGTTTGCAATGACGATTTCGGTAGGAATCCTGTATGTTATAATTTTCTTTATTTTAAAAAATACAAACAATAGACACACATTGGGGGCTAGCTCCCGAGCTATTCGACAGGCCCAGTTACGGTCGATTTTCATTACATTTGGTATACTAATCTGTTCATTGTCCCTGTGTTTATTACCAGTACAGGTATTAGCGATATGTCGTTTCAATGAATGTGTGGATTGGTCTGAGCATATTTGGCAAACAATATTTGGTGTTATGTTACCAATTCTGATGTTTAATTCAGCATTAAATCCGATTGTTTATTGGTGGCGCATTCCAACATTTAGAGAAGGATACAAGAATCTTGTAATCTCCTGGCTCGTACGTTGCCATATCCGCCAGAAGGATCGGCCAAAATCTCCACAGTGGAACGGTCAGTATCAAACAACCAGACAATAAAGAGGACTCTTTTGTATGGCCATGGTATAACCGCGTACGATCAGGGGGTACCTGTCACCGACGGAATCGAGAACCTTTCCTAATTCAACTGGCCAATCAGCGTCGCCAAAGGAGTCAGTGGTAGCGTGTAGCGATTTTTTATGGAAACCAGGCTTTAAAGCCCCATTCCCGGCAAAATTTCAGTTTTTAAGAAAAATCTAATTTTTGTATAATGTTATAAAGATTTATAAATATAATACGGAATTGCTAGTTTAACTGAATTTAGACATTCCTAAGAATGAAAAAAAATGTAAAATAAGTCTGAAATTTGATTTTTTGTGTTCCACACAAAAAATAAATGCGGATGAATTTTTCATGTTGATTTTGCGATAGGTCGTGAGAAGAAATATCGTAGGCGCCGAAAACATTAGCCTATCCAATGCTGCTGGCTAGGCCTAGCCTTACCTCGATTTAGGTTCTGTTATCACACATAAAAACGGCCGACATGATATTTTCCGTTGCAGTATTGACGCTTGTGAATAATATTTCACAGGAATTATTTCAAATTTGTTAAAAATCTGATTCTGACTGAGATTTTGACACTTAAACCAACTTATCTCAGCCTAACCGAACGACCGCATTGTGCGAGATGCGAAGTACAAAAACCATAGAGATATAATAAGAATACTAGAGCGCTAACAGCAATGTATTAGATGTTCGAAATACGCAGAGCTGTGTGTGTGTACCATCCAAGATGGCTGCCATAGATTCAGCCAATCAAATTTCCCCTGAACAATTCACGTCGTTGCTCTTCTTCCGATTCCGTGTTCATGTTCAGTCTCTCAGTGCTAGATGTGTATAAGAGACAGATATTTACATGGGAAATATTCATACAAAATGTATCTAAATAATATTAGAAATGATTTACCGTACAGAAAGTCTTCTAATTCCCCGTTCAGCAACCTTTTATCAAATATTTAACACTCAGCCGCGACCCTTCGACCTCAAATTATCCTGAGAAATATTGGCCAAATTATCCTAATTATCCTGAGAAATATCTGCCAAATTATTAAATATTTTATTATTGTGGCCTGCTTTTAGCAACGGCCTTGAGTTTATTGTTACCTTACATCATTTGATTTTATCTTTTTTTGCTAAGTTTCTATAGAATTGCTCACCCTATCGGAGACAGTCGCCGACTGTTGTAGGGAAGGTTAAACCTGGTTCAACTTTGCCGATTGGGTTGCCGACGAATCGGGGTGCCTTAGCAATGCACCCTGATTTGTCTGCAACGCGATCGGCAAAGTTGAACTTTGCAATACAATTTAATTCGCTACCGGTATTATCTGATATCGTCAACGCATGAGTCATAAGAAGTATTGAACTCTGTCAAAGGTCAAACTATTGAAAACTCGAGACAGAACGAGGTAACATTTATTGTTTACGGCAGAGGAAAGTTGGCTAAACCGGCTATTCAACCGTGTTTTAGGACGACGAAAAAATATTGTGCGTAGACTGTGTATTTACTTATGTGTTTAAGTTCCTGTAATAAGAAGGATTATTGAACTTCATCAGAAGACGTCAAAAGGATTCCTAGAAAATGTAAACTGTTTTAGGTGACAGAAAGGAATATGGACATTAAAATTCCATTAATGTTGTATGAAGATTGTCTTAATACCGTAACTATCACATAGAGTTACTGATCGCTTTTCATTGCTTTCTGAAATTCTTTTTCAGGTAAAGTTTGCGGTAGTTGTTGCTTACTTTAGTTAAGTACGGTAAGTACTGTACAGTAAACTTGCCGACGGATTGTTTTGTTTATAGTAATAAGATGAAATAGGCAGCATGTTTTCTACTAGTATTATTGTAGTAGGCCTACTAAACTGAGTGCGACGGATGATGCCGAATAAATTAATAGCCATCGATATGTGGCTTCCTCTTTAGATTTTCATTGTTCATTGTGTGTCAGGGCGGGGGCCACAACTTGACTTTGAAACTCCTAAATTGCCATATTCTTCGCCCCTAGTACACTAGAAATTTTGAGCCACGACCGGCCACGACCACTCTTTTTTTGTCTAGGACGATCGCCCCCCCCCCACCCCCCGTCGGTCAAATCTTTCCGTCATCACTGGTTTCACTGCTTTTAATTGACTTTCGGCGAACTGGTACTCGGCAAACTGGAATTCGGGAAAAGGGTCACGGCAACCTGGTATTCGGTATACTGGAATTCGACCATCTGGCCTAGAACCGTTTTTCTCTTCAGCACCCCCTTTTTCAAAATCCTGGACTACGCTCTGCATCCTGTTGTTATGCTCTACTATACTTTTCCTTGTTTGGGCTTTATCCACCTGAATTTGAAAGTGACTGTTAGACGGCCGCCACATAAGTATTAAACAAACACAACTGCAATGATCATATTATAAGATGATAATAATAGTGATATTATAATGATAGCGATGATGATAATGATGATGATGATGATGATGATGATGATGATGATGATGATGATGATGAAAATTATGTTTACGAATACATTGATGATGTTGATGATTATGATAATGATACATATTAAACCATACAATACACTGACCAAAAAACGTTTTAAACAGACAGACAAAGCAGAGGAGCTAAAATCACAAATCGATATATACCAAAAAGCATGTCTGTTTATAAATCCTTGGCTATTGAATAACAAGTTCCGATTGGTCAGTTGTTAAGTCTTACTTATTCTCCGGAAAGGTGTAATACAAAAATCGCCATTGTCTGATTATCTTAATGATGAAAAAGATTTTTTTTTTTACAGACTTATCTACTCAAGTTGTTTTATCCATATACCTACAGTGGGTTTTTGTAAGCCTTAAATAGGATGCCATTCATAATCCCAAAAGACGAAGTAGCAGAATACAATGTTTTTCATTATGTGCACTATGAAATATTATATATGATTTAAAAAAAATAATAATAATGGTCTAAATCGAATTACCTTTACTGTATTGTTAAAAAAGTTTATGAGCAATAGACTGTAGGGGGCGTGCTCAAACAATACACATGTCGGCCACACAAGCATTCAGGGCTGGTCTACGTAGGGTTTCTCCTGCTGCTGTCCGTGTTTCGTTGCTTAAAAATCATCTTCAACAACCGAGCTACTTAAAACGACAAAACATGTCGGGCTACACTGCAGTTGAGAAAGGAGCGCCAAACTCATTGGATTACAGTATTTATTTCAGTAAGGCATTATCCCTTCTAAACCTACACAGTGCCAAGCCGGCCTACCTAGCCTTGAGTAGCATTGGAAGGTGTTCAGTTAATGAGTTGGCTGGGGCGTAGGGCGGTTATCAAAGCAAGAAGGGCAAGGCTGAATATATACGTGTCTAATTAGGGGCCTATGTGATTCTGCAATAATGTATTTTCGATACACAAATGATTGCTGATAAATAGTGACCTTTCACATGGTATCGTATTAATATTTCTGTAGGATAAGCCTAGCCTATGCCTAGGTAGGGGAAAGTAGGGCCTTGTTGATAAGGATAAGAGGAAGATAGGTAGGCTTGGCCTTCATTGGACTGGACAGATACTACCGTGCAATGGGTGGATGAGTATTTCCTGTATTCTACAATTCCTAGCGCCCTCAATCAATAGTTATTTAGATCTTTAGTATTACATAGTCATCATATAATATTAATTAATTAATTGATATATTAGTAAAGTGGAATTTGGCAATATTTTCAAATGCAGTATTTTTGTTAATTTAATAAAGTAGGGCATACTGTACTAATTAAAGTTGTGTAAAATAAGTTTGTCATTCCTAGAAAAAAAATAGATAGGCCTAAGGCATGCAATTAAATTATTGTATTATTTTGTGACAATGTATAAATAGTAGTAGTAGTACACGCACAGTACTACCGTCCACTTACTGTTTATTCAACTATACCAGAGTGTAGAGTTAAGGCCTGCACGGGGAATATATCTCCCCCCCCCCCCTTCACAAATTCAGCCTAGAAATCCGTTTTTTAATTTCAGAAAATAAGGACCGATTTCCACATGGATTTTGCCGAAAATTAGGTTTTGACTTAATCTTAATACTGTATATAAACAATATATTTAATATTATGCATTAATTACGATTCTGTGCACCTATTTTCCTAGTGATTTTCCACTCAAGTTTGAGCTGGTTTTTGGGGTATCATCTGCTCAATTACAAAAACTACAGTATGGCAACTACCTGTATGTACAATATCAAAGCCTTGACTTGTGCATTGTTTGATTTGGTATTCCCTGGGGCATAGTAATGTGTATGCAAAATTACTGGTTGATAATCTGTTGTTTGCAAAATTATTGATTTTCACAACCAATCCACAACAGATGCGAGTGTCCCTTCATTCACTGAATTGCAGTGCCAGCAATTTACTCATCCATGAAATTAGGTATTTTTAATTTTAGGCTTTTGTTTCTAAATTTGAGTTATTGAACCCATAAGTTTGCATAATGTATTATATCATATCAAGTAATTGCAGCTCGTACTATACATACAATAATACTTTATAATATTTTTTTTAACTACCTTATTAATTTTTCTCAGAATCTAAAAGTTTAAGAAAAGTCTTTGTAAAATATTAATGCAACAAAAGTCATCAAGGTTTGAAATGAAAGGTTCCGACAGAAACCATAAAGCTTGTATGTATAAAGGACGGACAAAAATTAAATTATAAATTAAAGATTCAGATTAATGTGCAGTAATGCAAGACTTTTTTTATAACATGTTTATCAAACCCGCCACCCGCCAATAATGATGAATTCGAATAAAAATAAAATATTATTTTTGGCTAATTAGCTCAGCTGCTACCATAATAATTATTTTTCTTTATTTTTATTTCACCCGATGCTGCCTTTAAAATCCCCAAAAAATAAGATGTGTATTTCTTCCTAATTATATTAATTTAAAGCATTTAACTATCCCATTACTAAACTGTTTACATTCACCAATAAAATTTTATTTTTATTTTTGCCTCCGTCTGGATGTTTTTGGCAAAACTATTTGCAAAGTAAGAAAACACAATTTTATTTGTATTTTTCCACCCTCCTCTGACGATCATTTGAAAAAATATGTTCGTGAAACAAGGTATTAAAAAAGTGTTGCTTAGAAGCAGTATACAAAAAAACAGTAGTAGTAATCTCTATTGTAATGCAAGTCAAGACCCATTAATCCAGATGCCAAACTACTTAAATCTTGATAATGCCTTTAATGTAAAAACAAGTACAGTATTCTTGTCCAGATGTTTTTGAAAAAGAAATGGAAGAAGTAAGGCCTACTCATTTTTTAATGGTAATATTTTCAGCTCATGTTTCTATGCAGACTAACAACATTTGTAAGGATCTGATTGAATACAGGCCAAACTAAAGCGATTTTAGTAGGGGGGTGTTACAAGTATTTTGCCGTGTTGGCTTTGCACGTGTAAATATAACAATTTATTATGTAAATTTATTATATTTTGTAAGACCGCACCACTATTTGTGAGTGCCACCGATACAAAGGTGAAGTGTCACAAATAAATAAATATATAAATATGCACCGATGGCTGTCCATACATAGCTTATTTGTATACATGTATGTTGGCTAATGTGGCGAAATGTGAAACATTGTTGCCTGGAAATCGTCTCATTGCGGCTGGCACTGCTCATTGGAGGGTGAGATCAAATAGAAAGACGCAACTTGTTGAATGATCTAGCGTGGAATTACTGTAGCAGCCTGTTGAGCATGGAGGTTGTTTGGCCTTGTAGAGTGTATTAAACTTTAAAACTTCATAATTGTTTTGTTACAAAAAAGTGAATAACAATACTTGAAGCAGCAGCAGATGAGAATCACAGACTAATTATTTGCTTTTAGTCAGGTCCCCATTAAAAAAAAAAAAAAAGAAAGAAAAAGAAAAAGAAAAACCCAAGCAGCATATCTGTGGCTATGCTTGTTTAATAAAAATTGAAGATTTCGCAACAGAAAAAAATTCCCTATCAGACAGTTGATGACCAAAATGTTCTTTTGTTTATTTTTAATGTACAGTATTGTCTGACTGCATGTTCATGGTCCTATTTACAAAAGTAATTAACAGAAAAGCAAAGTCCAGAGTGTCTGCTCTTTACAGGTAGTTGTAATTCTGGGAAAAAAATGAATTACATTAAACAAATACTGTATACTGGCGAGTGATAAGCTACGGTGTGTTGTTATAGTATTTGCTAATTATATATTGATGTTTCATTTTTTTCCAGAAAATGCAAATGGCACACATATCTCCCCATTTCATGATATTCCACTGTATGCTAACAAAGGGGTAAGTCTAAGTTATACAGCAGTAATTTTCAATGGCGGATCAAAAAATTCAAAATGGGGGGGGGGGGCGGGGCT